GTGGTCATTATTGACGAATACGAGTCAGAAAGCTGGTAGGACATAGGACATTGACAGGCAAACGCAAAACCACAAGAGGGCAGGGAGGCCGCTGGGAAGGTGAACCAAATTTTGTGCAGCTATAATGAGGGATGCTTGATTGTGGCTGGAGATGAGTGCGAACTGTTGGCTGGGCACATGTTGTGAAGGGCCTTGAAGGACCCACTCAGGAGCCTGGACAATCGCTGTAGGCACTGGGGAGTCATCGGAGGAAGAACAATTTAATGGAAACGTGTCAGAACCAGAGGCTCTGGGTTTGAAATATGATTCTACCATTTACTTGCCCTGTGACCACTGTGAGCCTCAGATTACTCATCTGTAAAATACCTTCTTGCAGGGTTGTGAGGATTGAGTGAGATAGCGAAATGTGTAAGAGCTTGGTAAGTCTAACAGAACTTCTTATTTCATGTCGTTCTACTAGACTGCACGCTACGAAAGGGCAGGGACTGTGTCTTATTCAGGACTGAGGTGGAACACCCAGGCTAGGATTTTCCATGTGGAAGGGGCTCAGGAAAGATTTCTTAAATGAATGAATGAGAAAGTAAGCAACTAGAGCCTGCTACATAGTCACTATTCAATGTTTATTAGTTGAAATCTGAATAGAAGGTTCTGTGTTAGAACAACTCTGATCAGATCTTGGTCTAGAATGGTAACTTGGGCAACAAGGGGGCGAGGAGTTTGGAGGAGGCCCACATGGGAACAAAGGAAGCTTCTGGAAGGCTTTGCAATAACCTACGCCATGGCATTCATGGAGACAGGAAATACTGAAGGAGGAGACACAATGAGCTCAGTGTTGGACTTGCAGAGAGTGAGGCTGCAGGGGACGAGTTGGGTACAGTGAGCAGGTTATCCATCAGGAGCTATCCGGGAGCGACAGCATTCTGAGACATGAGTCTGTGAGGTGTAGTGACTACTGTTGGCACAGATGAGACTTAGCACCCAGGGAGACACAGACTCATAGCAGGAGAACACGGTTAATGGCTGAACCCTGGAAAACCCTAATAAGCTAAAGGGAAGACAGGGGCACAGGTGAACTGAGAAAGGAGTCCCAGACTTGTGTGTGAAGGGCTGCGATTTCAGGCAATCTGGCTGTTACGATGGGAGCAGTCACAAGGCTAAACACTCAGTGCTAGGGTGTTCCGGGACCTGGGTCCTGGAGTCAGACCAGCTGGGTTGGTTCAGCCCTACCATTTGCTAGCATGTGTGACTATGTGCCAAGTTACTTCCCCTGCCTGAACGCCCTTTCCTCTACGTAAAACAGAAATAATAACTGTAGCTTCACCATCAGTTTGTTGTAGGGATTAAATGGAACGATGTTCATAAAGTTATTAGTACAGTGCCTGCACATACTGGCCAGTAACGATTTCAAAATACATTTCAGGGATGAGGTGGCACCTCAGCCCGGTTTTCAGCCTCTGAGTATGTTGGTAGGTCCTAGTCCCCCAAATCTGATCTCCACCCCTGAGTCCCTTCATTTGGACAAATGAGGAAAACCTGAGGTTCAAAGTTGCTCCAGATACCATATCAAGCTGGAGTTGGAGCTAGGACTAGAATCTCCAGTCGTGTATCACAGCTTTTCTGGAACATGAAGAACCACCGGGTGGATCTAAAAGTGGGATCTGGCCACATGGCAGGTTCGCATTTGAGAGAAAAAGAAGGCTTAAAATAACGTCTTTCATCATTTGACACTTTGAGACAGGAAAGGCACCGATTCTCCATTTCAGTGGGGCTTTCTGAACCCCAGCACGACACCATGTATTTAAAGCCGCGGATGTGAAGCTTAAGGTGCAGGCTTCTCTTCCTGGGCCCAGGGATAAAAACAGCCAGTTCTCATCCTTTGCGTGTTGTGTTCACCGCCAGCGACATAAAAAGCTATTGCGTAGGCTCTTCTGTGCAGCCTCCCGCGCGCCCCGCCCCCTCCCCGCCAGGTTATCACTAATGTTGGTTATTCCTAGGGAGGAAGTGCAGACAGGGTCATTAGACACTGAAAGGAATCCAGTCTTCCTCCCTTTGGGACCCTGGAGCTTCGGTTTGGATTTTTCCTCCTGGAGGCTGGCCAATTTGTTGTATATGATCTTTGCAGATCTCTCGTCCCAGGGTCCTTGCCAGCACAGCCTGTCTTGCTGACTTCTTACATGTGGCTTCCATCCAAACCTAGTTCATTGACAGGTGGAGGGGGGCAGGGAAAAAGACACTAGCTAGGAGTTAAGAGACTTTGAAAGTAATGAGCTGTAATGAAACGGGTTCCTTTCCTAAGTTTCCTCATCTGTAAAATGGGGTCAATACCCGCTTTCAAGGTTATAGAGGAACCTAAATGAAGTAAAGGATGTTAAAAGGGCTTGGAAAAGCCTTCTTCAGACATCAAGTTTTCATAACTCTTGGAATGGCCTGGAACAGCGCTCTAAAAGAACACAGTGTCACTTAGAACTTTTCCTAATCAGGTCTGGCATCTTGTGTGTTGTTCATGCAGACTCCTGGGGGTACTTTGGCTTGGTGTTTTCAAAAGGTTGGTATTGGCTGTTTTTTAAGACTGCATATTTTGAATGTGTAGCCCTGCAGTTGCTTTGCAGAGGTCCCTGTGTGACTCCAGGGACACAGTGTGGACACAAAGAATCTGTGGCCTGTTTTTTCCTTAAGTATTAGATTCCCACTGAGCAAGAAGTTCCTTTTATAAAGAAAAGTGTGTTTCTTTGCTGGCTGGACAAAGCAGGTAGGCTGTTGTTGATGGCCCAAGGATCATGCAGAGCCCTCTCTTTGCAACGTTCATTATTCTGGCATTGGACTTGGAGGTACTGGTGTGGCCAATACCAGCTTCCTTTGCCTGAACCACTGTCTCTGGGCAAAATCCCCCAAAACAGCCTCTAAAATACTAATTTGAAGATAAGATTGCTCCAGATAAAGCCAGAACCTACCTTCAACCTCATTAATGTGAGCTCCTGGCCACAAACAACCTGTAGCTCACCCCAGCCCCCACCCCGGCTGCCTACCTCCACTTATTATCTCCCTGCCCAGGGAGGCAGCTACTGGTGTTGAGGGTCTCCTGAGCCCATGGTGACCAGCCACTGGGGTACTGGCTCTCAGCTATCTCAGTCTGTGCCTGCCAGGTCCTCACAGGCTTCTGGAAAAAGGCTGTGTGGGAGGATAGAGCCAAATTGGGCTGCAGTTTGAAACCCTCCCTGGCACTGACAGATCTGGCGAAGGTGCGAGAAGGAGTGCATTCCTCATAAAAGGAACCAGAGCTTAAAATGGAGCTGGCAGCTTGGTGTCTGGGGCTGTCTAGCCCTCTGCCCAACTTGTTCCTCAACACTGCATTTCTTCAGAACTGCAGGAAAAGCCACACTGACTTGGAGAGAGTCCTGATAACCTCTCTCAGCCACTGTCCAGAGCTCCAACGGTCCACAGGCCATCAGACCCCATAAGCACGGTGCCCCTAGCATTGCTGGGCTCTGAAGGTTTTGTCTTCTTTTTTTTGGGAATTCCAGGCCTCACTGTATTGGAAAATGGCAGAATGCACATCAAAACAGCCCCATTTCTGCTGAGCAACTATATCACAATGGCCAAGAGCACAGGCCCTAGAATCGGACCGGCCTGGGTCTGAGTGCCAGCACATGTATTCTTCTGTGTAGCCCTGAGCCTCAGTTTCCTCATCCATAAAATGGGAATACTAATCTCTATCTCCAGGCTATTGGAAAAGTGCAACACCGGGCTGTATGTAAATCACCTGGCACATTCAGCCTTTGTTCAAGCCCTGATCGCTATAATTATTATTGTTCAAATGAGATCTGGGAAGTGGGTGGGAGGTTTGCCCTAATTGCTGTGAAGGATTCGCCCTGGTCAAGGAAGGTGTTCCTTCACTCAGTCTGATGAGGAAATGTAAATGAGCTGTCCTTGACAGTGATGGCAAGACCTGCCAAAGACCCCTCTTGGCTAGGCTGTCAGGAAAATGCGCGAATAACATGGGTGTTGTCTGCAGGCTCCCTCAGCATTCTGAGGCTCCCCGAGGCCAAGTTCCCGCCTGGGTGGAAGGGCGGGCTTGCTCTCCAGGTTGCCATAACTTTGCATATGATTTGCATATGCTTGTGGGGCCCCTGCAGTTTCTTCTGGCATTTCCAAGTTAAAATATTGCTTCTTCTCCAGGCAGGCCAGACACTGATTTCCTTCTTCTCTAGTTACTTCTCTAACCACGCTGATTGACCTGGCTCCTTCACCCAGCGAATGGGGGATGAGAGGGTGGGGTGAGGAGGTGGATGAGGGGAAGGGAGGGAGGCACGGGGTCGACTTTATAGCACATTAAACTCCGTGAACATGAGCCATCGTGGGTGATGAGAATGAGCTGTTTGCAGTAGGATGAAGAGAGGACTGAGAGACCCGCTCAGGCCCATCCCGGTCTATACCTTACCGGCATCCCTAATTTGACCTGAGGTGCCCTAGGTCCACTGGTCACCGGGGTGCAGTGGCACCCAGCCGGGTCAGGAGGATCCGGGTTGAGGTGGGAGGAGAGAGAGGGGCGCCGTGACAGCCGAGCACGGCGTTAGCAACCTTGCGAGAGGAAGTGGCTTCTGAAGACTGCGTTGTACCAGGGGGCAGGAAAGGCGCAGGGAGGCGGGGGAGGTGTCGAGATGGCGCTCTGCGCGCTCGGGGCGGAGGGAGAGAGCCGGCGCCGAGGACATGAAACCGCAGAGGCCGAGTGAGCCGGGGAGCGAGGCAGCTCGACCCCGTGTTCGCAGCCGCTAGCGGCGCACCGGGAAGAAAGCAGGTTACCCGGCTGCCGGAGCCACGCGGGGCCCAGGGTGAGAAACCCAGGCGGCCGGCGCTTGCTCCGCCGGGTCCGGTAACTGACTAGTCCCCGGCGGGCTCCGAGCTCAAGTGGTGGAGCCCGGGGAAGGTCCCCCACCTCCCTGCGCCGCATCCCGAGCCGGCCCAGCAGATGCGCTGGCTGCCTCTGCCGGGCCCCCGGCTAGATGACGGTGGACAGCAGCATGAGCAGTGGGTACTGCAGCCTGGAAGAGGAGCTGGACGACTGCTTCTTCACCGCGAAGACCACCTTCTTCAGGAATCTGCAGAGCAAACACCCTTCGAAGGTAACCTTCATTGAATACCAGAGCCTTGCATGGGCGCTGCGGGGAGAAGAACCTCTGTGGCTTAGAAGGGAAACCTTGCTTCTTGGCAAACAGGCAACGCCATGTGTTAGCGGAGTGAGTGTGCAGTTGCCATAGGGACCCTCTTGAACTTGGCGGAGCAGACCCAGGGTTGGGTCTGGATCTCTCTGGTGACCACCAGGAAACAACGTTCTCTTTTTAATGCCCTGTTCAGCATTTCCTGCCTCCTGGACCTTCTCAAAATGGCTCTCTAGGATTTGGGGACAGTGCTTGGCTCTTGGTTTGGCCGCATGCTCACCGGTGCCTGGGAGAGTGATGGGCTCTGCTGTGTTCCATTTTCCCCCCCAAATCCATGCTCTGAAGCTCTAGACGGAAAGTGGATGACACCCAGTTCCTTCGGTAGGATAAACATTCATAGGTTGAGACTTCCGTATTGTGAGTGGCCAGAAACCATCTTAAAACGCAGTCCAGCAACTTTGCAGAAGTCCAGGGTGTTTTCAGAAGGAAATTAAAACTTCTCTCCTAGGTTGCTCCCCTACTACCATTTTAACTTCCTGGGTTGATTGGGGGGGTAACCTAAAGGGGTTTGCATGTGTTCCCTAAAGTGGCTATATGTGCCTCCTAAAGGTGTCAGCTTCTCGACACCCAGCACAATACCCAGCACCCCTGAGTCCCCTGGCTGCACCCTCCTAGTTGTTCAGAGGCAGCAAGCTGCCACGGACTTGGTGGAAGTGGTGACAGAGCTCGGCTTATTTGTTTATTTGTTTTGTTATTTATATGAGAGGGCTCTGAGCCAGGTCCTTGGAGAGGTTACCTAAAAGGAGCTGTTTGTAGACCTAAGTGAGCTGGTAACTTTCACAGGTGCGTGCAGGCTCATCATAATTTAGCACCCCTTACCGTGTAAAATTAACCAAAAACTCCCCCAGGCCTGACGCTGGAGCCTCCTTTGTTAATAGTTCATCTTGCCTGGAGGCCCTGCATTTGCTGGTCCTGATGTCAAACAAATGGACCTTTCAATTGTGAGAGGACGCCCAAGAACCCCAGGAGAGGTTTTGATCTTAGTCTTCGAAGGAATCCACTAAAACCGGCCCCTTGAACCCGTGCCTGTTTTCTGGGGCACCCCCTCATGAGGCTTGCGTGCTGGAGGGAAGAGGCAGGAAGGGTTATAGGCAGGGCTCAGGCAGGGCTCATGCCGAACAGCACGGCTGCAGGGGAAAGACGTCCCCCTCTCTCTTGGGGTTTTTGCCCGACTGTGGACCACCCCTACACACACACACACACACACACACACACACACACACACATTCCAGCTGTCTGGGGTCTTCAGACCAATGGTTCTCAACCTTAGCTGCACCCTGGAATTGCTGGGGAGCTTTAGGAAATTGGGGTATTGGGTCTCACTCCTGAGCGTCTGATCGAATTGGGTTGGGTGCAGCCTGGCATCAGGGTCTTGAAAAACTCCCCAGGTAATCCTGATACCCTACGGAGGGTGAGAACCATTGCTCTAGAGAGTTTTGCTGCTGCATGGGAAAGAAATGGTTCCCGTTTTTAAGACAAAGTGTAGCTGCCGTGCTTACTGCCAGCCAGGCTGGAAGCCCTTGGTCTCAGAAAGTGAGCTTCTGCATGACTGGGTAGGGGAAGGTGCCCCACAGAACTGGGGTTTCTTTCACTTGGCAAATGCAAAGGTAGCTGTTTCTGGTATTTCTTGGGAGAGATGGAGCTATCTTGCTAGAAAATGTGCTGTGGTGGTGTTGGGGGAGGGGGAGGACTTGTTCCTTGACCCAAACAGGCTCCTCTTTTCATTCCCCTCAAACTCTCCTTCCTAGCCTCTCTCCTCAAAATGTACCTTTGGTTTGGCACCCACACCACCTCTTTCTTTACTTTATCTGGTTCTTGAATCCACTGCATACCAGGAGGCCTCTGCATATCTCCCTACCTCATTTTGCCCAAGCCTGTAATCCCAGACAAGGTGATAAGGCTACATGCTTTCCAAAAGGAAGGGTGGTGGGCATGGCCCCTCTAATCCCTGACCTCTGCCTAACTACATACAATGTGAGAAGAATCTTGACCGGAGTTTCAGAACTGCTGTCGGGACAGTTTGCCTCAGCACCAGACCAGCTTTCAATCAGCACAAACCAGGGCGAGAGGGAGGGAGGGACTGTGCCGCCTCTGCTGGGTGGCCCAGCACTGGGGTGGCCCCGCTGGCTGAAGGAGGGGCAGCCTGTGAAGGGTGTGTGTGGCTGACTAAGGAGCCAGGTGAGCTTCATCCAGATGTTTCCGTCTTTCATCCTTCTAAGTGTTTTTCTACCTTCAATAACATTTTCAGCTCTCTTCTCCCGGGGAGCACTTCTGGAAAGGGTTTCAAAGAGACTTGCCAGATCCCAACCCCATTCTGACCCCTAATGGTGCCTTTTTCCTACCCAAACAGAAAATGCATCTGAACTCCTAGGGGAATTTCTCTTTCCTGTCTCCAAGGAAAGGCGATTATGTGTTTCCCAGTTGCTAGAGCCGGCTTCTATAAATAGCCTTGTCAGAACAACCTGAGTCTGCTGCTGGGCCTGGGCCTGGGCCTGGCTGGAGCAGAGCTGTGGAAGCCTCGCTGCTGTTCTGGGTGTCGCCACCTGGGAGTCATCACTACCCCAGCCTCCAAGGAGTTCCCGAGGCCTCTCCCCAGCCCCTTTGGTGGGAGGTGGGAAGGTGGAGAGACAGCAAGAGAGAACATGGGAAAAGGCCCTGGGCCTAGCTTCTTTCAGAAAATGACAGCTTTTTGGGGTGCTGTGCCTCATCTGAAAGGGACAGGAAGGTTTTGAGTCACATGATGCATAATTTCAGGAGGCTGAGGCAGTGCTCTCCAGGTACTTTCCCCCTTGGCTGGGCAGAATTAGGTCACGTTTCCCTGGATTATGCGTGTCAAAATGGGGTTCCTGGTGGCTTGGGGGAAAACCCACCTGTGTGCTGAGCAGTGCAACCTGAGCTACTCTCAGTAAGGCACACACATTCAGCCCAGTCCAAGATATCAGAGGGGCTTAGCACAAGTACATAGCAAGTTTATGGTGGACCCAGAGAGAGAGGCTACATCTCTTGCCTTCCAGCCCAGACATTTTTCTGTTTTAGTCCTACAAAAAGCAGGATTTGGCAATTTGTAGGGCTGTGAAGCCCGTTGCTCTTTTATTCCTATCTGGGATCTGACCCTGGAAGTGGAGCCAACTTCCACTCCTGTCAGTTCCCTGAATGCCTACAGGTGGCGGCAGTTTAGGGTTTTCATCTGTGAGCAGGGAGGCAGGCACTCTGAGCTCTCTCTGCATATTTAGCAGGCTCTAGGGCTCCAGGACTGAAAGCCATCAGAGTTTTGTGTGAGCGCTCTGAGAACACATGAAGCCTGCTTCTTGCAGAATGTCAGAGCTGAAAGAGACCTGTCTAGCGCCTTACCTCACAGATAGAGAAACTGAGGCTCAGAGAGTGGGGAGGACCTTGCCAGGCCTCATATCTGGTTGGTCAGAGCCAGGACTGACACCTCTCTTAGACTCCTTGTCAAGTGCTCTCCTTAGTCCTCTTTACTTAGTGAGTGACCAGAGCAAACTATAGTCCTTGTCCTCTCAGAGCCTTCTACAAAATGGGAAGACCCAAATAACCTCAGGCTTGGAAAGGGGTTGACGGGTCCTTCCCATCCCTCTGAAATTCCATAAGGCTTTTCCCATCCCCCTATTCCATAGCTTTATTGCCAAAGGAACGCTGGCCCAACATTTAACACTAGCAGGGTGTGCCTATCCTCAGTTTCAGTCTTACAACTTGAATCATTTAAAAGTTCTTCTTGGTTCCTGCTTGTTGGAGAGTCTTCCCCGTGTGTGTTTTGTTTCAGGATATGGAGAATAGAAGGTCTTTATCTATGGTTAAATATTATACTTAAGCACATCTAGAACACACTCCCATTCACCCTCCTTCCTGCCCGCAGACTTTCTCTGCTCTATGTCGACACCATTTGTTGTTGAAATTTTCAAGGAAGATGTGAAGAGGAAGGGGTCTCAGAGGTCAGAGTACAAAGCCACTCTAGTTCCCTTCCTGCACTTGTCCTACCTCCTCTTGCCTGGCCAGTCGGCCCCTCCCTGGACAAGGCCTCTGTGGCACCCCACGGGTGTCAGCCAAGCTTGACGGCCCTGGGACCAGCCAGGGAAATCCCCATCTCGGTGCCAGCAGCAAGCACGCCAGGCCTCAGGCACAGCACCTGCCTCTGGCCTTCTTGGCATAAGAGAAAAGAAAAGAATACTAAAAATAAGTTAGTTCCAAATTGGAGCAATAAAAATCGTCGGAACCACTGAGCCATTTAACTTTTTTAATGTGCTATCTCAGAAGCCTACACAGCCCAAGACTAACCCCAAAAGACTTTTCATGGCACAGCCACACAGTGCCTTCCTTTTAGGCTGTAGTCTGTACTCCACTCCTGTGGAGTACACTGCCTGTTGCCTTCTCTGGCCCTTCCCAGTATTGCTCTTCTCTGTGAAGATGGTTAGCCCTGTAAGATCAGAATTCTCAGCCCCTTCCAGTCCAAAGCAGCACCAAATACTGGTTACAAAAGCAGGCACTAACTAAATGTTGGTTGATTTTCTCTCTTGTATCCTATATAATCAGGATGGATTGACTAACTGTTGTAACAAGCAACCCCTGTTTTTCAGCCATTGAGCATATAGAAGTTTATTTCCCCTTTAAGTAAAGTTACTTTGCAGGTGGGGGACCCACAATAGTACATGGGAGATTTTTGTGGGCCAGGCCCGGAAATGGGTGTGTGTGTGTGTGTGTGTGTGTGTGTTTTACACCCACATGCCATTGGCCAGAACTCAGTCGCGTGGCCTCACCTAACCACAAAGGAGGTTGGGAAATGAAGTGCAGCTGTGAGCCCAGGTGGAACGGGAAGCTGATGTGGTGAACATTTAGCTGTCTCTGCCACACATCCTCCTACCATCTTCTCTGCCAACCACCTTTGGAAG